AGCCCAAAATCTCTGTAAATGTTTATGAAAATTAATAAAATATAATTATAGGGAAAAAAATAGGAGTATTTGAGGAAAAAAGGAGATTAAAAGCAGACCTTGTATCAACATACAAGATAGTTGTGTTTTTAAAAAATTACATGTTAAATGTAAATCATAAAATCAAATGTACCTATAAAGGTACACCTATTTTATGTTACACACAAAAAAACTGTAGACTACAAACTGCATGCTTGCTATAACATGTTACTGGGAAGGCCAATGAGTGGAATTTCCTGCAATTATTTATCATCATGATAGAAAACAAATATGTGCAAACTGCGAGGTTCCAAAAATAGCAGTAAAAGAGTTTATATACTGAAAGATGTCACTGAGCAAATATGCAAGAGATGGAATTTCCCAGAGTTTATAACACAGAACAGTAAACACCGCATGTTCCTCCTCCATGGCCTTCTTCTCTTTGTGACGATTTTACTCCTTTATTCTCGTTCTCAGTTTCCCACAGTCCAGGGGTTTGAATGATCTTTTCAACTAGTTCCTCAAAGGCACGTTGTACACCATCCGTGGTTTTTGCACTTGCCTCAATAAATGACATAGAATGCTCCCATGCAAATTTCAGGCCTTCATTTCTATCAACTTCACTGTTTTCCTTATCAATTTTATTTCCAACTAACATGTTTACTATGTCATTTCTCTTGAAGTGTTTCCAGTTAATTTAACCAGCTATCAAGTTTAACAAAGGTGTCTCTTTTTGTAACATCATCGACTAATATAACACCCTTTGCACCTCTGTAATAACTGGGAGTTAATGTTCTGAACCTCTTCCGACCAGCAGTATCCCGTATTGCCAAGTTTAGCATTGTTTCCTTCCATTGAAATTGTTTTCACCTTAAAGTCAATGCCTGTTGTTGCTGTAAGCTCTGGATCAAAAGTGTCATCTGTGAACCTCAAGAGCAGGCTGGACTTGCCCAGCCTGCTGTCGCCAATTATGAGGATCTTAAGGGTGGTCAGCACGTCCTCGTCCATCCTGACCCAGCTCAGCTCCTACCCAGCTGGCCGCCTGGGTTTTCCTCTCTACCCTTAACCAGCCCTTTTCTCTCCTGTTTTAGAAGCTTACAAAAGTGAATTCACAGTGTCTGTCAGTTATGCACCTCTTATTCCTCCCCTCCTCCACCCATTATTGTCACATACGTGTTGTTTTAGCTTCAGTCATAGCTCTGGAATGAGAATGATGTGACATATTTCCTGAGCTGAAAGAGTCATCTCCAGTTTTTATAGATGCCTCTTTAGCCTTCTTTTTAAGCTCCTTGTAGTTAGAACACTTGCCTTACATTTCTTAAATCATAAATAGAATTAAACACGAGTGATGTTTAATGTACATTAGCATAATTAACTTACCATACTGAAGTTTGATGATTAAGTACTGAAAAGTCTACGTGAGACCAGAGTCATTGCTAGGGGTGAGTGGGGAAAGGGCTTTATCACTTTTTTTAAAATTTTA